TATATATATACGCACACACACACACACAGACACACACATGCACAGACACACATGCACACACACCCACACACATATGGCTTTGCATCAACACACACATTCATAATATGTACAACGGGTTCATCCTCAAATTTGTCAACATACACACACACATACACTCATACTCATACATACACACACACATACACTCATACTCATACATACATACACACACACACACACACACACACACACACACACACACTGTTACACAGACACACACACACACATGTGGCTTTACATCAACACACACATTCATAATAATATGTACTTCCACACATTCGTCAACATACACACACACACACACTCACACACACTCACACACTGTTACACAGACACACACACACATGTGGCTTTACATCACCACACACATTCATAATAATATGTACTTCCACACATTCATCAACATACACACACACACACACACACACACACACACACACACACACACACTCACACACTGTTACACAGACACACACACACATGTGGCTTTACATCACCACACACATTCATAATAATATGTACTTCCACACATTCATCAACATACACACACACACACACACACACACACACACACACACACACACACTCACACACTGTTACACAGACACACACACACATGTGGCTTTACATCACCACACACATTCATAATAATATGTACTTCCACACATTGGTCAACATACACACACACACACACACACACACACACACACACACACACACACACACACATACAAACACACACACACACATACAAACACACACACACACATGCACACTCACAAAACACACAGAAGATACACAATACACACACACACATATCATCATTTATGTTCACCTGTTCCCCCCACAGGGCCAGCCTTACTTCCTGGAGGACGGCCGGTCGTGTGTGTCGCTGAACGAGGCTCTGATGTGGGCCAAGGTCAACCCATTCTCCCCTCTGGCATCGGGCGTCAGGATAAACCCCTTCTAGACATTCTCCACACCTCAGTGGATGTAGTTACGTCAATGATTGTCAAAAGGCCAGTGACTGTAGATGCATCTATGATAGTCAAAACGCCAGGGATTGTAGATGTGTCAGTCGTTGTCCAATGCCAATGATTGTAGATGTGTCAGTCATTGTCCAATGCCAATGATTGTAGATGTGTCAGTCGTTGTCCAATGCCAATGATTGTAGATGTGTCAGTGGTTGTCCAATGCCAATGATTGTAGATGTGTCAATGATTGGTTTGTGTTGTCATCATAAAGGCTTTTATCTCCTGGAAAGCTGCACCCAGCGACCTGTGGTCAGAGCCACTGTGCCGGTGATATATTAACGGTGGCTCGGGCGCATTCCTTTACGCCGAATTTGACGTCACATTAGTTTTCGGCAATTGTCGAAAACAAGTCTCTTTTGATGGGAGTTCATTCATTAAAAGAAGAACTATCAAAATAGGTTCACTTGTTTTGATTGAGTTACCAAATTGGTGATATCAATTTTACTTTTAGTTTTTGAACCAAAATAGGGCCTAGGCATAGTGGGTTTACCCCCCCCCCCCCCCCCCTCGTAGATAAAGAGTTTACTCATATCTCCGGTAAGCTGCTTCTAGCGGCCTGTGGTCAGAGCCACTGTGCTGGTGATTTGCTGTCACAAGCTCTGTCAAATTCCTTTATAACGACAAGGATATTATATTGACTTTCGGCAATCGTTGAAAATATGTGTCTCTTACCGAATTCTTTCGCTAGATGAAGAACTATTAAAGTAGTTACATATGTTCTGATTTTATGTCCAGTTTAGTGACTTGTATGTTGGTGTCGGGTTTTGCACTAAAGGAGGACTCCGTGTTGTGGGAAAACCTTTCGGAGATTAAGAGTTTAGCAGATGTGCCAACGATTGTAGACAATCCAACATTAGCAGATGTACGATCAATTATAGATGCTTGTGTGCCAATGTTTTGTTCTTTTTGTCATCGGAGCCTTCGCCTCTGTGTACCAATCTCTGGTTCTTGTTGCTTCAGAAGGGCCTGTGGTATCAGTATTTTTTTATTTACATTTGGCATTACCGCAGAATGAGGAGAAAGACAGAAGGTGCAATAATAATTATCTCTCCCTCTCTCTCTCTCTCTCTCTCTCTCCCTCTCTCTCTCTCTCTCTCTCTCCCTCCGCCTCTTGGCATTCTGCCTGCCTGAATTGTTTTTGGGTCTTAAAAAGCCAGGTTTCTAGGGCCTGGACCAATCTCCTGTAGGTCTCCCCGTTCCTCGCGTCCCCCTCATCATTGCCTCCGAAATAGGCTCGAGTTTTGGGAGTGACAAAAGAACTCTCCACATACCCAAAGATCTGTCTCCAACGTATAATTTTTCTCTGGGGGGAATACTGTCATCTTTTC